GTGTGAGTATGAGAGAGTGTGCGTGTGAGTATGAGAGAGTGTGCGTGAGAGTAAGAGAGTGTGCGTGTGAGTATGCGTGAGAGTAAGAGAGTGTGCGTGTGCGTGTACGCGTGAGAGTAAGAGAGTGTGCGTGTGCGTGTACGTGAGTGTGTGTGCATATGCGTGAGTATGAGAGTGTGTGCGCGTATGTGTGAGAGAGAGTGTGTGTGCGTATGTGTGAGAGAGAGTGCGCGCGCGTATGTGTGAGAGTGTGCGCGCGCGTGTGTGTGAGTGAGAGAGTGTGTGTGTGTGAGAGTGTGCGCGAGAGTGTGTGTGTGTGAGAGTGTGCGTGTGTGTGTGAGAGAGAGAGTGTGCGCGTGCGTGTGTGTGTGAGAAAGAGTGCCCCCGCCGTGCTGTGGGTGTTTGTGGCGAGGGGCTCAGTGTGCCTGCCCACACTGGGGGAGGGTGGTCTTGTTCACAGCCAGAGCTACACCGTGAGCACGGTTTGCCTGTTTGTTTCTCGCCAGGTGAAAGAGGCTCATTTCAAGGCCCACCCTGACTGGAAATGGTGCAACAAGGACCGTAAGAAATCCAGCTGTGATGTCAAAGCAGCAACGGCAGGCCCCGGCTCGGTCAGGTGTAAGGAGCAAAGGGAACGCAGCATGTCCGAGACCGGCACCCTCTCTGCAACGACAGGTACCTATCTGTCCTGAGGCACGCCATTAACCAGGGACTCATCGAGTCACACAGCATGGAAACAGGCCCTTTGGCCCAAACTGGTCCATGCTGGCCACTCAGGTAGTTGCAATGGCCCACACTGAGTCCATATCCCTCTAAACCCTTCCTATCCATGTACCCATCCAAATGTTTTTAAAATGTTGCTATTGTACCTGCCTCAACCACTTTTTGTGGCAGCCCATCCCATATAAGCACCATCCTCTGTGTGAGTAAGTTGCCCCTCATGTCCTTCTTAAATCTTTCCCCTCTCACCTTAAACCTATGCCCTATAGATTTCAATTCCCTATCCCTGGGAAAAAGACTATAAGCATTTATCCTATCTATTCCTCTCATGGTTTTATAAACCTCAATTAGGTCCCCCCCCCCCCCCCCCAACCCAAATCTCCTACGCCCCAAGGAATAAAGTCCTATCATGTCCAACCTCTCCCTATAACTCAGGCCTGCCAGTCAGCATCCTCGTAAAACTTCCTTGCACACTTTCCGGTTTAACTATGTCTTTCCCTCTCACAGGTCAGATGGGGTTTTGGGCAGGGGAGGTGTTATAAAATGTTTGCCTTTCCCCTTTACGCCGAGCAAAGTCACACAGGTGCAGGCTTCAGCTCCAACCACAAAACAAAAATGTTGCTTAAAATAAAGCAGCTGCAAGGACCCCTCTGGGTTGGTCCAAATGACACCCAGCACCCTGACTCATCCATCCCAGCTGAATTCCTTCCACCCTAATATCCTCAGCTCCATCCCCAAAGCATGGAACATCACCAGGGTTCACTGAGAAAGGAGTTCTGTTTATCGTGTGTGTGTGTGTGTGTGTGTGTGTGTGTGTGTGTGTGTGTGTGTGAGAGAGAGAGAGAGAGAGAGAGAGAGCGCACACTGGAAATCCCCAGCACTGCCCCAAACTGCGTTGGATACACACCCTAAGCCTCTTGGATCAGTGTCAGGGGAGACCATGGGGGTGGGGAGCATGACCCACTGCCCAGGCTCCAGAACCAGCCCACCGCCCAAGAGAGGGAAGGGACAGATGGGAGGAGCCGGCCAGTGGGGATCTTAGGGAGGCCATTCAGCCCCCCTCCTCGAGCTGGTTACACAGGAACAGGAGGAGGCCATTCAGCCCTCAGTCTGTTGCACTACAGGCTTTGGTTCAGATCAGCTGACCTGTTGTGATGGCAGCCTAATTCTTGCTGTACCCAAGTTCGTGGGCGCAGCCTTTGTAGCCTCCCCATTCCTTCTCCCTTTCTCCCTGACCTCCCCACCCCTCCTTCGGTCTGGTCTCTCCCTCATACCTATCCGCGGTTACCCCGAAGTTCCGCTGTCTGTAAACACTGCCCAAAGTTTATGGCTCAGTTTGATTGTGGAATAGTGTATGACAGACTGTGGGTCTCATGCCTGGGTGAGGAGTGACTGTATTGCTGCTAACGTAGTTACAGAGCCTAACTCTGACTTTATAACTCAACAATGATTTCTCCCTCCCCC